ACCTATACCATTCTGGGGGCTCCTTATTATAAGACAAGAATACGGGGCCCCAAAACCCTATTCCAATTAATCAGGCCCCTACATTATGGTTCCGAAGTCCATATTGCACACGCCAGAGGTCCAAGCATGGGAGCATGGCGAGGGATTGTAGGTTTTGGGGTTTGTGGTTTAGGATTTTAGGGTTCAGGGTTTAGGGTTTTTGTGCCATAGCTTACCGGCTCAATCTCTGCAGCATTTCCAGCCTGCTTTCCAGCAGAATGCTGCATGTCAGGATGTTGTCTGGAGAAGAGGTGGTAAGCTTACCTCTCGCGGAAGTGAAGGACGTCGTGGCATTGAAGCAGCTGCTGCATCGGCTCCATGGCTTGCCCCCGCGATTCAGGCAAAGAGTCTCTTGCGGCGGCGGCTTATTGGAGGATGCCATGAAGCTGGACTCGCCCATGGACCTGGATCTGGTGCTGCTGACATACTTGGAGGATCATGGGACTTAGTAAGTAAGGTTATAAGTCCCCTAATTGGGGTTGTAAGTCTAGTTACCTTAGTTATAACCCTACTTACTAAGTCCCATGATCCTTTAAGTATCCGAAGGCATCCCAGATGCGAGCAGATGAGCTGGTGGCTGCCGCCATGAACGGCTTCATCGCCGAGGTTGGGCTTTTGCAGGCCGTAGCCCCAGCCCTTCTTGGTCTCCTTCACTACATCAAAGTATGGTACTCCAAAGCCCAGAACAGTTTCAAAGGAACCCTAAACCCTAAACCCTAAACTATAGGTCCAGGTGGAAGCCCCCCAACAAGAGAGAACTCCTGCAGGTTGCTGCCATTCTGGAGGAGCCTCAGTCCCCAGACCTGGTCGATGTGCAGGGCAGAAGTCCTCTTATGTTGGCTTCCCACCACGGCCGTGTTGACGTGTTGCGCTTGCTCCTAGAGGCCGGAGCTCAGACGAACTTAGCGAGCAGCGACGGAATGACTGCCCTGACGGCAGCTGCTCTCGGAGGTCATGCTGAAGTTGTGCGACTGTTGCTAGAGGCCGATGCCGACATGGACTCGGCCGACAATAACGGCATGACTGGCTTGATGATTGCCTCAGCGCAAGGCCACGTTGCAGTTCTGCGTTTGCTGCTGGAGGCCGGCGCGCGCAAGGATTTGCCCAATGTTGACGGCAGGACTGGCTTGATGATGGCTTCAAGCGGATGCCACACTGGAGTTGTAAGATTGCTACTGGAGGCCGGCGCCGACAGAAATTTCGATGACAGCTGTGGCACGACTGCCCTGATGCTGGCTTCTGAACAAGGCCATGTTGAAGTGGCGCATTTGCTGCTGGAGGCCGGTGCTGGCAAGGACTCAGCCAACATTGGCGGCGTCACAGCCCTCATGATGGCTTCTGAACAAGGGCATGTTGAAGTGGTGCAATTGCTGCTGGACGCCGGTGCCGACAGGAACGCAGCCGACAGTAACGGTACGACTGCCCTGATGCTCGCCTCCAACTTAGGACATGCTGAAATTTTGCCATTGCTGGCATAGAACGCCTGGCCCCAACCCTGAAACCCAACACCCTAAACCGTAATGTGGGAACCTGATTAAGAAACCCTGGCCCTATACCCCCAATATATTATGGTTCATATCAAGAACCCCAATAGAGGCCCAGGGTTTCTTAATCAGGTTCCTATATTACTTGGAGGTTCATGGGTAGTTATAAGTGGGGTTATAAGTAGGGTAACTCTAGTTATAACCCATATTCGGGGACTTATAACCCTACTTATAACTACCCATGAACCTCCAAGCAAACCCGAAGATCGCCTGCAGCTGGAGAAGACGAGCTCGGACTCCAAGTCCAGGATCCGAGAAAGCCTGATCGCATGGTGCAGGGTTGTACTATAGAGGCCTTAGTTAATACAGAAATTACAGAAATTATTTGGGGGTTCCTTTGTACTATAGAGGCCTTAAGTAATACAGAGATTACAGAAATTCTTTTGGGGGGTTTTCCTTAGTATGATTATGGTATAATGTACCCCAAACCCTATTAGAATTGGTGTACTATAGGGGCCTGAACTGAGTTCTCCAACACCCAACCTTTGGACTTTTTGGGTTCTCATAACTTAGTAGCAATCTGAAAGTTTAGCCGTTTATTTCCCTGGCTTATTGAGGAAGCAAGTAAATGATTACCTCTAGTATTTTTTTGGGGGGGGGTTCCTTAGTATGATTATGGTATAATGTACCCCCCAAAACCCTATTCTAGTTATTAAGGCCCCTACATTACGTCTCATTCGCTCACCCTCGGAAAGTCCATGAAACTGTGAAGCCTCAGCTGGCGCACCCAGCGGAGCATAACACCCTAAGCTGAAGCTTGTTGGCTTCGTAGAGATTCATAGGGGATACCTGGACCCTAAAGAACCTACCTTTTTAGGGTTCCTTATTATGATTTCTTTTATAGAAGTTCTTAAACAGGTAGGTTATTTGGGGTTAAGGTAGGGCGTACAGATTAAAACCCCACTAAACCCGACAAGTTCAGCAGACACCCTAAATCCAACCCAACCCTTAAATTCTAGACCCTAGCCTACACCCTAAACCCTGAACCCAAACCCTAAACCCAGAACCCTGAACCCTGAACCCTAAACCCTAAACCCTGAACCCAGAACCCTGAACCCTGAACCCCAGCCCTAAACTTCATAGCGGTCGAGTGTGAAGCACCTGGTGCTCCAGGAAGCCTCACCTCAGGAGGCGAAACCGAGGCCGGCTAAAATTCGAAAAAGGGTTTTGGGCTTTGGGTTTAGGGTTTAGGGTTTATGCTGAGAAGAAAGGCTCTGTTTGGCAACAATCATTTGTAAGACTCCTAATATAGTTAGCAATGACCATTTCCATTTTCTAACCATGCCCACCCCCCTAGGCCACCTGAAGACCCAAAACCATAACAACCTATACCTCAACCCTAACCTCACCAAAAGACACATAGGAAAAACCCATATAATAGAACCATTAGAAGAACCATAGGTAACCACATAGAAAAACCCACTCTAAACCTCATACACCAACACCCCCATAGAAAAACCCAT